AATCCACTTAAGAAAAGTTATAAAATCAAGAGTTGACGATGTTATCTTAGACGTACTTAACAGATAACTATAACAACAATTACAATGTTTATAAACTTTTTGTTATTCATTTACACAACACTAATTAATACCAAACCTACCAAAAACTCGTSGCCCAAACGGCTTTCGATTCCTTCGGCTTGGCTAGTTTTATCAATCTTTCCCTAAGTATAAAACACACTTTCTTGATAAGCTAATAAACAAGATAAAATACTAAAGGCAAATAAGAGATAATGTTTAAATTGGGCTCAAGAGCCACTATACTCACATGCCGACATCTCTGTAAGCTTCTGTAAACGACGGCATAGGATGGTTTACTCTAAAAACTGTTAAAAAATAAAGTTATTTCATTGAGAGAACATGCAAATTGATTTAGCTTCTCAAGCCAAGGCTTTTTAGCTTTGAAAGCGCGCGTTGCTTACCGTCGATTTCAGCCATGTTGTTGATAAAGCCGGTGGAATGACAGAAAACAAATATAAACTTTACACTACCGTTTATGACAGAYCATTAAGTAATGTCGGCTAAATTTAAGCTAGTATATTTGAAGGAAAGACCCAGTTAAACTAGGCCAATTCCAAAGAGAGAAAGTGCCAAAACTTTGTAGAAATATCAATAACTTTAACGTTACCCTGGTAACTGTAGAGCGTGTGGCCGGTTTTTTTGGCTGGTGTTAAAATATCCAGATAAAGAGKTGTGATTGGTTGGTGTGAATGCACATTGGGGTTTCAATGAAGACTGTATTGTGAGGTATACAATAGGAATTAAAACAGTCTTAACATAAAGCCGCCAGTCTGGTGGACTAATTTAAAAAGCCTGTTTCGTGAGCGCTAAATAATAATGACTAAATTCATTGTGTTTAATTTAATTTTTTTACTTGTTTTTTTTTTTTTTTTTCGTTTTTATTTTTTTTTTTTTAGTCAACAACCGCGCAATGTAAATGTTTTGTCTTTTCAATAACACCAAACTGATTAAGAATATCTTGATAATTGTGTGTGAATGTTTATATAAATGGTGTTGCTCGTGTTTTGCTTAAATACTCCGTTATTTTTCCATTTTTCCACTGTTTATAACAGTTCAATTCTATTRAATATTAACTTTGCGTCCTCGCCAAGTTTAAATATTAAGTTATTTATACATTCATTATAACCAACGCCAGTGTAAATATTTTAAAGAGTTTAATAATTTACTCTCAGTTTTCGGAGGTATTTGGAACCGGTCAAGTTGCACTATTTTTTTGTTCAATATAAATGATTAAAACATTTACGAAATGAGAAGGAGAGTTTTATGGAAACGTTTTGGTCAGTAATTTTTGTCTCATATGCAGTTTTTGAAACAATAGATCATTCAAAAAATCTTTCATTAAATGTCATTCTTTCCGTGACTGCAAAATACTCCAAGAAGCCTAGTCTGAACACAACATATAAGATGATACCCAGTCCACCTAATTCATCATTTGTGATAAACTATTTTTTAGGAAGAGAAACTGTAAAATTTTGACTGCTTTAGTTTGGTTTTTTTTTTAATGCCGGCTTTTTCAACCTATTTATTTACGGTTTCGATCAACAATGTTTCGGCTGTAGATTACGAACTATGCTCGAACGATCCCGAACACGTCACGACCGACTCGACTAARTCYTTCCYAKTTCACAACCGATCTCAATATTTTTACTGTATTCATGTTTCTGATGCTGAATTTGTTTTGGTATCAAATTTGCTAAAGTCCGAAAGTTACTATGAACAACTATTGTTTACTGTAAGTGAAAATGAACCATTTCAGGTCTTGAATACATGGTCATATAGTTAATCTATTAACTATGATATGGTGTGCGATATAAGCTCCTTTTTTTCTAAAAGAGTTTGTTAAACTTTTAAGATCGRTATTCACACTTTTTTGTAAAAACTCATTGTCACCTTTTCAATAAAAGAGAAGCTTACAATATGCACTTAATTAGCATGTTTGACAGATTTTGGAAAGATGCCTTTTCCTTTAAATTTTGCTAAATAATGCGTTTTCAGTTTAGTTAATTCACCTTTGTAAAAGAGAATCTTTCAAAACATAAAGAAGAAATGTTTACATAAAAATCACCGTATGTTGCAACTTTATCCTTCAGGAAGATATAATTTGAAGCCAAGTGATCAGAAAAAGAGCTTTAAAACATCTGGGAAGTCAGTTTTTTTCCTCCGAATCCATTGAGTAATGGAACTTATGTCAACAACAAAGTAACCATCATTTCCAAAKCAGAAAATCATAACCTTCAAACACTAGTTTATGCCCTACAAAACATTTAGTAAAATTATATGTGTCGTAAATGTTGCCTTTTCAGGAACCGAGGAGAATTCGGTGATTAGTAAAAAAAAAAGCTATATAGTTTCAAAGCAAACAATATCTGCTAGATTCGCGCGAAAACTTACTTTTCTTGGAACTCTTTTTTTCGATTGGCGGTAAAAGGACTGCCATCATATAGAGGTTMTCTTCCTTATGATGTGTGGCACAAGTGTAAGTGACTCTCGACTTATCTTTTCAAATTTCTATAGCAACAGACACTCTTCTCATTGGGCATGCGCAATACACATATACAGATTKTACACCTATCTAATCTTAGTTTGCRATTATTGATGGGTTGTAAATTGCTTCTCTTAATTCAACATGAGCTTTAGAAACCACGCCCCAGATGGACGAATTCATAAAGCGATAATTAATATAAATGCAAAATATAAGTGCATTTATGGCCATTAAAAACTTCGAGCTGCAAGCTCAAAGGTCGGACGCGATTAATTGCTTATCAAAGTCCAGCATAAACTATTCTTACTCTTATTCTATTTTGCTAAAAACTTCAAGAGAAAATATTCAAGAGAAAATCGAAGTTAAAGTCACATGCAAATCAGGGCAAATCTCTTGCTCATATACATATTTTACACATTTGTCAGTGAACAATACAAACGATCGCATACGTTGCAAAAATAACTAAAAACAACATATAATCGGGAATGCCGGTGCAGTTTTGTACTAAGCCGCCCCCCTCCCGTCTCACCCCTCCCCTCCCCCCTCCACCCATTCTCCGCCGTCTCTGTTTCTCGTTTTTATTGTAAGCTAAAAAGAGTGAAAGAAAAAAAATAAAATAAAATAAAACTTGCCTTTTTGTTTGCGTTTCCTCTCKCAATTCTTCCTTTGTTTTTCCTCCACTATCTTTAACGCGTCTCTTAAGACTGAGAGCAAGTTGTAAGTGCTATGTTAGTAACTTCTAATATAAGTATAGTACACAAGTGATATAAAGCTAGATCAGTGGCTTCAATAACTAAAATCATCATCACTACTTTTACASTTAGTTTAAGGACACCATTCGGGATGCATGAGAGGCTAAGAATAGTGAGAACATGAGTGATATAGAGAGATCAGGGGAGTCGTCAAACTTACCTTTCATCCTTTCAAGAACCAAAGGCATCATTGAAGAATTATAAGGRGATAACGATTTGCTGTGCACAGTCTTTATAGGAGGCAATTCCTTGGGTTTCCCWGGAGTTGTACGATTTTGTAGGTCTGTTTTCTCTCTTGCCTTGGAATACGGAGGAGGAAGTAATGGAGGTGACTGAGGAGGGTTCTGTAAGGGTTCTGGCCCAAGAATAGTGCTTTCTCCATCTAACAGAGATAATAAAAAGTCCAYTATCACCCCAAATGCTTTGCGCGCCTCGTCATAATTCTGTTATGCATCCCTACGACACTAGTGAAAAACGCACTGTGCATGTCCACAGCTTTTTCACCAGTGGGCGCACACGTTTTGAAATCTGTAAACAGAGCGCCTGGCGATTTACAGCGACAACACACAAAACACTACGAAAAACCATTTCTCAAAATAGAAATCAATCTCGTACCCAGAGCCGCCGTTCCTCTTAGAGGAACGGCGGCTCTGGGTACGAGATTGAATAGAAATGACAAGATGAAAATAGAAACTACATACTAAAACAACCTATCATGAACAAAGATTGACGGAAATTTGAATCTTATATATCGGTTAACGAGCTTATAAATTGTAAAAAAAACTTTCATAAAAATCGCCAGGCGCTCTGTTTACAGATTTCAAGACGCGCGCGCTCACTGGCGGGAGAGCTGTGGACATGTGCAGTGCGTTTTTCACCAGTGTCRATCCCGACCAATCTGAAGCAAGCACTTCTTTTCATAACAAAAATAACGTTCATAACTGAAGCATCAAGAGTGACAATGAGCCTTTAAGGTAYATTGATCAATTAGTGCACTTTAGGAAAATTAACGTTACCAAGGAGACGAATATAAACAAAATAACATCGATATCTACGCCAGATATAAACTTAACATTTTCTTTTGTRAAAGTTTATTTCTAACATTAGTCCCGAAATAAAAATATTAGTCCTGTCAAAGCGTACTAACTATGGTCAAGGCAAACTCTGAAAGTTGGCGTTAACGTTACTTCAAGTTGACTTCAAGTTGATTTTGATAAAATTACTTATTGTATTTMTCTATTCATTTTACAAGTTTTCCTTCTCAAAGCCCACTTAGCAGTACTTATACAGTTGTACAAGCATGCAAGGAAGATAGGCTGAATCAGTTTACGCCGGTTGATCGCTATGCTTCCTTCCTACCTACCTTCAACATCTTCAATCAACAATGTATTGTCATCTTTGATTTGTGCAGCAAGTTCTGTGTTCATTTTTGAGGAAGGCAAGAAAAAAAAATCGCGTATTCGTAATTTTTGTATCCTCTCCCTTCCGAATGTGCGTGGAATGATCTCTTCGCACAAAACAAACGACAGTAAATAAGAAATGTAACTAAGTCCAGCAAAAAATAAACATTAATCGATGACACACTTAACACACTCAAAACAAAATAAAGATTTGATTTAAATGAGTTGAATTTGTAAATAATTAATTGGAAAAGCCATTYCTATACTGTACATTAAGAAGCGATAATTACGATCTACTGAATTTGATAAAGTGTTTTAAATGGGGTTGATTCTTTGTTTTATCGTTGATTGGTGCTTGAATCGATTTTTAGGTCTAATATAATTGGACAATACAACGACGTGCTTAAATGAATTCTCAAAATGGTCCAATGACGTTTTTTCCTTGATAAATGGTAGAATTTGCTTAATGAATTTTATAAATATTCAGTTTTGTTCCTACGTACGAAAACATTTTAACATTAATGATTTTTATTCATCATCATAATGACATTATGAGCAAACATCAATTCGTTTTTTCCTTTCATTAATCTGTTTGTTCAGTTTTCTAATTKATTATTTATCCCACCATCGATCTGCCGATCCATTAACTTGATTGATTTTTGTATTTTATCATAAAATATATTTTAATCCAACCGACAACTTTATATACTGATTGATTGATTGGCTGATTGATTGATCATTGATTAATCAATTGATCACTTTTAATAGCCAGAAAAAGTCACCWTCACGGTTCACGTACCATCTTGAAAGTTAGTCGTGCCTTTTGCAACAAAACTCGTGACGAGACGACCGTTGTGCAATGCAATGATAGATACCTGTGAATAATTGTCTGTAGGTGTGAAAGAAGGTTTCTATGAGTGCACAGGCACAGGGTAATCTTTCAAGATGGRGAAGGGAWCTGGTGAAGAAGATCAAATACCTGACGAAATGCAGCTTGACGATGAKCGACTCAAACATGAATCACTTTCTCTATAATAACTGGAACAGCCGCTGTCATCAGAGACAATAAGAGACCGCAGGCTAAGACCTGAAATCTTTCTCGAAACCGGTGTAAATGGCGTGTCAGTCGGTCGGATGCTGTCACAGCTGGACGGAGTACAGTCCGTAACAAAACCCGAATCGTTCACATTCAAGGGCTTCAAAACAGTCTTTCTCCGTCTCCCTGGGAACGAGTCTCGTGATAATGCGCTCGAGGTGCGGGATACTGAACTCGAGTCAGTGCTCGTGGAGAGGGATGACTTCGGTTTAGGAAGTGGTTTAGATAACTTGGGCTTCCTATGTAATGGCGGTGTGTAACTTAATGACGTGTACGTGCACTTTGCATCTTCTTGTTCTACGGTGAATATTTCCTCTTTAAAAATAAATAAAGAAAAGATAACATTATCTTAAAAGTGATATTTTGCAATGGCTATTGGTCGTTTGTATGTCGGATGTATTCTAGTCTGCCTTCATCGCTGATAGCACCAAATGGGCGTATGGTACCTTGCTGTAAGGCATAGTCTCATCCCAAGACGTAATCSGTCACTTTTTTGATGACCCTAGAAACCAAATCTCAGACACTTGCTTGGAATTCAAATCTTTCCATATTCTTATAATCTAGTCACTAACGAACAAAAGATTGCATTCTGCCATTCCGATATGCATGGGGAATCTAAAATCCTTGAGAATAACAATTGACATCTACAAGAACTATGGGTACACAGACAACCTAAAGGAGCTTTGTGTAATGACACACTATGGTAGTTACCTGTATTTTGTTTTTGTTTTTGTTTTTTTTTTGGGGGGGGGAGGGGTGAGGGGGTAGATACATTTTGAGGAGCTGCTTTTTTTCTAGTTACCTGTATTTTTGCCTCTTCTCCTTCTTTTTCTTTCGTGGCTGTGTCGAATGTCTTCAATAAGCACTAGTTTACCCAGACCTCCTTTAGGTCTTGGAGGCCTGTTTCGTAGTTTAGGGATCTTTTTAGTTCTGTTTTTAAAATCGACTCCTTCAACATCGTTCTCTGTTTCTCGTATTTTTGTCTTTCTAACTCTAAATCTACTTGTTATGTCTTGGTCTCTAGATTTACTCTGCAGCGGACTTAATTGATTATTTTGCTCGCTTACTTGACTCGATTGCTGTCTTGTTTCTACTAAAGCAACAGGACGAGGCTTTTCGCTTGTTGGAGCTGCACCTATAGACGCAATTTCTGATGCGTCGTCTTTAGAACTTTCATTAAAATAGTCTTCAGAATCTTCGTCAGAAGTTTCTTCGCTTTCGTCTTCGCTTTCACCTTCGCTTTCTTCTTCGCTTTCTTCTCGTATTTTGTTTTCTTCATCACTTTCATCGTCACTTTCTTCATCGCTTTCTTCATCGCTTTCTTCTTCACTTTCTTCTTCGCTTTCTTCTTCGCTTTCTTCTTCGCTTTCTTGTTTGTTTCCGTCTTCTTCGGAAGAATCTTTCAATGTTGGGGTCCTTGCAGTTAATGAAAGATGACTAGAAGCASAGCGGACAGCAGTAACAGTGGAGTCTGATTGGCTAGTGCTACTCTCGCTGCTACTCGACGAAATTGTTGAGTGAGARGACCTTGAAATTCGTATCGATTTATTCCGTCGATGGAATGGAACTATTTTGTCTGTTATACTATAGCCTCCTTTAGAGCGTGCGCCCCAGCGCGTCCAGTTACGTATTGTTACGTATGATTCCCTACTAAGTGCTTGGGTAGTAACGCTGTCTTTCCTACTAGTACATTCGAACTGGCTGGAGACAAAGTTACCTAAACTTATCGAACTGTCCGATGACAAACTGGAGTTACTTAGCGGGCGAGATGGATTTATGTCGATTAATGGAGGTGCAATTTCATCAGAAATTTTATTGACAACCTCTTCTCCTTTCTCTTCTTGARCTTCTGTGGGTTCTGTAGGTTTTATCGATTGTGTTTCTGGCTCGACGGTTGAGCTGTCTGGTGAAGGAATAGTGGGGATGCTGCTAATAGAACTTACACTACTAGTGCTACGAGTATAGAATGTCGTTGAAGCATTTTTAGTGATAGTTGTGGTATGATCTTCACTTGAAGTATCTTCATCATCATCATCATAATCGTCAAACAAATCATTTTCACTACTGCTTGCACTCGTGCTAGATGGAACGGATCCATCGGACGGAGTCTGTCTTTTAGGTCTCAGTTTTGTTTTAACTACAGAAATAGTGCTTGAAGAATAACTACTGCTTTCGTATTGAAAACGCTCTTGAACGAACTTATCAGTAGCACGTGACCACGACTGAACCACGTGATCTGGGTCCTCATAKGGTATTCTGTCATCTTCTTCGTCGTAAWATATTTTAGTCGCAGTCGAATACGGCAAGGCGGCGCTTCCATTCTGACTTCGCCCTTCGGGATTCTTTCGGAATGGATCTCTGACTGGTCGATAAAGCGATCGGCTGTAGTCGTGAGTTTTGGTTTGGGGATTCGTTTGTTCAAGTTTTTTTAGTCGATCAACTTCGTGAGRRGAGYARACTGAGTTCTCAGCGCTTTTTCCATCGGCAGCAGTTCTTTCCGGGATTRTACGTCGTGAATTAAGACTTTCGCTGCTTTTAAACTGCCTTTCAAATTTCTTTAAATTCTCGGATGTGAGCGGTAGGATCCTTTCAATTGGCTCGTGGTGGACGTCAGCTCGAACTTTCATCCTCGAAAATCTTCAAAATATATTATAGCTAAAAGTAGAGAAATGTCAAAATTAGATCTGCATACAAATTAAAGCATTCTAAAATTATTTCAAAAAATTAATTATATCTTGGGATTAAGACAGGTGTAACGATGTCGAAATCGAAACAAGAAGTAAGGTCATGCGAAGTTCAGTGTTGCTATATCACCATAAAACAATTGATGGGAGTGAATATTTTCTTCGCTTTCTATGAGCTTCAAAAGAAATACTGTCTCTCTCTTATCATACACTATCCTAAAAGCCATTATTGTGGAATAAATTTCAAGAATGCATGTTTTTATGATTTATCTAGAAGCGCTCTTCCCCAAATGTTATAATTTATTTGTGATCTCTAAACAGCGCAAAAATGGGATTTAAAGCTTATTTCGCTGAACGGTTCATCGATCGAAAACGGGAGATTCTGCACTATATATAAAGCTCCTACCGCCCTCCATCTTGCTTTTACGCTGTATAACGTTTCCATGACAACACCAATTGAGGAATCAAAATGTTATCTATGCGAGGAGGACCTGGGAAAAATGTTCAACCTACTAAATCTAAACTGGAGTCTGTCAAGAAAGCAATTTGAAGCTTAAAAACTATTAAAAACAAACCTTGATTACAAGCTACCAGGAAGATGCATTTGCCGTCAAATATCAACCTGAAATGCCATGAAACTTGGATCCTCACTGAGATATAGGTCTTGTTATTTTTCGTGGGGTCGATTTGAATATAAATTGTGTTTTATCACAAGTGATAGTTC